TATATATATATATATTAGTTTAGATGTTATTGTGAGTACAACTTTTATTATTCTGCTTTGTAAAGTTTAAATAATTATAATTAATGGGTTTTCTGGAAGATTTATTGTACTGAAATATGAGTGGTGGTTATTGGAAAATTTATTTTATTTACTATATAATGCGCTACCTGTGATATGGGAGTAGGATATATTCTAGTCTATATGTGACGACGAACCGTCGGGAGGAAACACATTGTGTTGTGACAAACATAGAAGAGAAGACTTATTTGAATTAAAGACTTTATTTTGACTTAATATTTTAACTTGTTCGCGTTGTATTATTTGTGTGTATTACCACATTATGATTCAACACTCAAGTTCACCTTTAGTGTGACATATGTAGACCTCTTCAATAAATCATTTATATTTCAATAAATATAAAACTTTATTAAAAAACTGAAATGGCTCTCAAGTCCTGTATCATGATAAATGTAAATAATAGGTTTAATATTATTAATAATAATAATAATAATAATAATAAATAATGACAATAATAATAATAATAATAATAATAATAATAATAATAATAATAATAATAATGACATTAATTACAATATTAATAATGTGATATTGTAGCGATGGCATCGGAGGAATTTTTGTATTTTGGTTACGCCAGCAATCTACTAAGAGAGAGGCTTCTACTCAAGAATCCGTCAGCAACATTTGTGGCAATCGCAAAACTTGAGGTACCGTAATGTACAAATGTATTTTTCAGATTTAGCCTCACTTTTGCAAATTAATACACAACAAACCTCCAGGGCTGTATCCGGGAGTAGTAGATCGCATCTTCGATTTGTCATTACTATGGAAACTTTAACACTCAAATACCGGCCAGATGATAGAGTGCTGGTTAAAAAGTTAATCCTTTTAATCTTTATACAGAAATTAACAAATGTTATATTCGGTACCCCACCGTACTTTCTGATCCGTGGGAAGGGTGCTTACGTGCACATATTAACCCTTGCCCTGGATAAGGGCCTGACTTGAATTTAATCACATTACAAAAAAAAAAAGTTCTCTGTCATTAATAATATAGTAGGCCTATTAATTATATATTACATTTGTAAAAATTATATTGTTGGTATATTGATTTCCCCAGGATTATAAATTAGTGTTCGGCCAGAAAAGTACGGGTGTAAGTCCGGTATGGAAAGGAGGCGTAGCGAGCATTGAGTATTCACAAGGGGATCATGTCTGGGGTGTCGTTTGGAAACTTAACAGATGCCATCTACAAACACTTGATCTGTAAGAATGATTAGTTTTTCAATACCTAAAGTGTAGAGATTTTTTTTTACAGATATTAATATAGTTTTTTAGGCCTTCATGCATCCGGAATACAGTTAGAACCATTTACATTCACAAGATATACTGTAGGTCTATTAAACCTGGTTCCCATAAAATCGCTACACGCTATCGCTGACTCCATTGGCGACGCTAATTGGTCAGTTGAATTCAGGGAGCGTCCCCGATTGCGTCGGGACGCTACGCGGTGCAATGATTACAATGAAACGCTGTAGCGAATGTGTAGCGATTCTATGGAAACCAGCTGGCTTTACTTGTAACCCGAAGGTTTTCTTATTTAAAAGTAAAAATAATGTAATTACTGTATAGTCAAAGCATGGCTGAAACAACTGCATTTACAATGAATTAAAACGAGATCTGCAATATTAAAACTTGCGCAAACAAGCATCATTACATACAGAAGTAGATGACCGTATTTGTAATAAACGCCTCCTTCGAATAAACGTTCACTTAAATGACTGTAATGGAAGCAATATCATTCTTAACACATTCTATTAATGTTCTATTGCAGTAGAATTACATTATTCTAACCTGGTTAGGATCCAGTAACGTCGCTAACAAGTATACAATTGTTAGCTGAGTTGGAATTGAATTTTCACAAAGAAACCATTTAGATCACGCAATAACACATTTTGACGGTAATTATGTGCTGCAGAAAATTAAGTCTTAAGGGCGTTTATTTGAGTATATTAAACGTATCCATTTTACATCGCAAAAAAATAAAAATAAACGCCCCTTCAAAAACGCTTAACAACCATAAGCGCCCCGGGGCCTAACTACTAGCTTATCAGTTGTTAAATTTAAAACAATTAAAATACAGTTAAAGGTAAAACTATTAAAATACATTAGAGACACGCATCTGAAAGTTGTTGATACTAAAATGATAAGAAAGGTGAAAAATGAAGTTATACAGAAAAGTTTCAAACAAAAAGAGAAGTGTATGTGTAAATTCAATTGTATTTTTCAGACAAGAATCAAGTCATGAAGGAATTGAAGTTAATACAAAAATGAGCACAGGAGAAATTTTAACGTGTCGAGTTTATGTGATGCGGGATATGTCTTCCCAACTTCCACCACACCCAAACTACTTGGATATAATAATCAAAGGCGCTGTACAGAACAAATTACCCCCGGACTACATCACAATGCTGAGATCTGTTGAAGACAATGGCTCTGCGGAAACAACTGAAATATATTTAGAGGTCATGAAATTATTAGGACCAACAGTTTGAAGACGTATTTTGTGGTTTTGATAATTTTTAATTTTTGCTAAGAATATAATTGTAAGACTACGTTGCATTATAATGTTTTATCCTTTACTAAATTAATCAGGATTTTGTTAGTAATAAGATAAATTTACCTTCCTGGATAATGTAATACATCCAATATGCATGTAATTGGATTGGATGTTGTCAGGAAGTTTAATAAAATTTAATGTTAACTAAATATTTTATTAACTGAACGTTGTGTATGCTTAGACAGACAGTAAAGGGTATTTATAGGCCTATAACTAGAAATATATTTTTATACTCTTCTCCAATTGAGTTGCCGCCTGCAACTTGTTTGGTACAGCATGACCATGATACAGTGTTTTGGTTTTGTTGCTTTCTGGTTCGATATTATATTTCTTTGGGGTTTTTTTTTTATTATTATTTATTTATTTATTTTTATTGTTTTCAATATAATTGTATTATATTGTGCTTCCTTAAATTATTTAGTGATTCTGCCTCACGATCTAACTCTTCTGCATGTTGTAAAATACTGATTATAAACAACAGGGTTGGAGCTAGTGGGGGTTCGGTGGAAGAGCTATCCTCCTCACTTATCGAAAAAAAATAAAACACGTCATGATAGAAGAGTATTATTATACTTATTTCTAACATCATTATTAGAATATATTTATTAGTACTGTACTCATCAAAAACTGTCTCTTATACACATCTAGATGTGTATAAGAGACAGCAGTCTAACAAACATTAAAGAAAAAAAAGAAATACAAACAGTTACTATGTTTTGTATGTTAGGTGGGATGAGAGAATGCAGTGGGAAGAACACTGGTGTTTACAAGATTCTGACAGATCAAAAGGCAAGGCGTATAACAATGCAAACCAATTTGTTAGGTGATACTGACTGACAAGTACTTAAAAAACTCCTGAAAATATATAGCAATAATCTAAAGCGTTTTTATATACATATATATATTTACAAATTATTTGAATATTTTTTGTATGAAACATACATAAAATTGTCAAAAGTTGATCAAAAAAGTATTGATGATAAAGTCGTTGCAGAGCCCTCAGAGTTTCTTTATCCAACGTAATCAAGGCCTCATTAATTATAGCAATTGTGTTCTCTGGGAAGTCTCTACCAGACTAACTCAAATTAACGCCCCACCTATCACTTCCATCCCCCATGAGGTGCTCTGTGCATATAAACTTATTGACAAATACGTTTTCAATAATTATTTGTTTTACCTATTATTCAATTAAATTCAATTTTATTAATTACTTATTTATAAGTACTAAGCACTGCACCAATTGTTATTATTTTTCCTGTTTTACTAAGTTCAATAACTTCAGCTTAACTTTCTGAAGGCCTGTAAGTTTTTTGGAAGAGACGTGCTACACGGTTTCTAGAATTTCTATCCTGCCCTCATGGAAGCAGATATTTTATTCTCTAGGATTAGCACCTTAAATTAGCTTCAACCTTACTCTCCATTTCATCCCCAACACATGAAGGTACATATAAACTTACTGACTATTTGTCAATAATTAATTGTCTTATCTAGATGAATAGCAGGCTAACCAAGCAGCTCCGTGATTGGTCAATTAACCATTTAATTTATGTAAGGTTGACAACTCACGCTTATCTAATTGTAGTTATCTTTCGATAATGGACCTTTCCGTTATGCCACACCCCTTAGATATTGTACAAGACGACAGTGTTAAAATATACGCGAATATGTGCGTTTGTGGGACAACGCGTCTGCTTGTTTGATAAGCGCGTATTCCTGGCACTGTTCTGATTGGTCAGTTGTTAAGTCGATTGACACTCTGGAAAGGTCAATTAATCCCTCACTGTACACGGACAAGTAGATTTAGACTTTTTACGTGTGAATTCATCTTTATTCACGGAAGAAATTATAATAGTAAATGTGTGAAAAAAAACACACCTCTCGGAATTATTTACCATTTCGAAATGGCAAAAAAACACTGTGGATTTTGCGTGCTTTACATCATGTCTGAAGTGTTGAGTTTGCCGATTCTCCGTACTGCACCAGTGCTCAGACGCTTTAAGATAACATCAATTGGTTGCGGTTCAGCATCATTTAGTAGGTCTTTGTGGAGGTTGAAGGCTCGGGAGAGATAGGAAAGCAGCGAAACTTTGTCAATTTCAGCGTCTACAACAGCTATTGCGATTCTCAATTCCTTCAATGGCACCTCCCTATTGTTGATGAAAAGAAATTAATAATATTAATATAAACTTTTATAACACCCTCTGTCTGGTCTAAACCATGCTCTAATGATGTGTACTTACTCTTTCTCTCCAAGTTCTTTCTTAATCTGTTCCACATAGATAGTCCTTTCTTCGTGTTCCTGTCTTCGTAACATTGCCAGGAAGGGGCCATTCTTTCCTTCCTCGTCCTTTTGATAAAACACGTCATGATAGAAGAGTATTATTATACTTATTCCTAACATCATTATTAGAATATATTTATTAGTACTGTACTCATCAAAAACCACAGTTATTTTCAGAACTATACAGGAATTGACTATTAGTACTATTTATTGTAATTACTGTATTAAATTACTTCATTCTATTTATTTTGTAGATATAGAAAATGAGTAACTGACAGGATACATGTGTAACAACATACCTCAAGGAATAAATCCTGGTATTTCATTGTTGTAGGGTCATCGGAATTGAGCTCTGTGAGGGCAGTGTCCATCAGTTCCTGAATTACATCATCATCCTTTATTGGGAAATTGTCTTTTAAGACCTTTTCAAATAAATCTCGTGGAAGTAAACCCTATAAGAAAAAAATGTTGTGCATGACAAATTTATGAGTACATAAACATAACAAATAAAAAGAAATTTAACTGCTGTACTCTTACGCATTCAAACACACAAGAGGACACACAAACGCCTCCATAAAAACAAACATCTATACCATGAGAAGACTTACTTCTGTTGCCATTTCTTCATCAGCTTTTTGTAGAGATTCACGAAGTTTAGAAAACAAATCCATTTCTTGGTAATACCTTTCCTCATCAATCTAAATAGAACAATGAAACATATTATAGTAAGCTAAAAGTATAGTGGTAATCACCAACCTACAGCTATGCTTCAGTTTTAATCATGAAAGAACCAACATATCATTACTTGTACACTGATTAACTTGTGTTCCTAGTAGCTGTCTCCCATGTTAAAAAACACTTTGTCAGGGGTTGGGAAAAATCTCTTGCAGGAGAACTGGTTAAATGAGCTTTTCCTAACACATCTAATTTCATTTACCCATTGGCACTGAATTCTGTGATATAATTGATAATAAAGTAGTAAAAACATGCACAAAACTCTGAGTTTGACGGAGATTGGTCGTATTCCAGGAGAACTTGCTTGCTTGCAGGAGTTTGGGAGGTTGACCAGATTTCCAGGTGATTCCTGCAACTCATGGGAGACTTGGGACCCCTGACTTTGCTGTCATTGACCTCAGTTGACATATCATACAGTATTATACCCATATTATATTATTATCAAGTGCATACTCATGGTAAAGCAATGTTTAACTGACTGTATTCTCAATGCACGATGTCAAATTTAAAGTTTTAAAGGTTATTAAGAGGGAAAATGCACAAAAATCAACCATCACAAATTGACATTTTACTTTATCTAATTTACATTTTATTTTATTTATATTTTAATTAAAATAATAAAGCAGATAAGAAATAAATAATAAGTTATGTGAGCTTACTTCTCCAGTAAGGACGCCATAGAAGAGGTCAAAGGGGTTATCATCATATGTTTCACAGGCATCTTGGAGATTGTAAAAATATTCAAGAACAGCAGTTGGATCATTATTTAGCTTCTGAGTCAAATACTGTGTTACAAAGTCTGCCATCACTTGACGTGTCTCTGCCTCTGACTGTGAAGGTAATAGAAAAGAAAAATATCATAAAAATAATACATCTGCAATAGAACATATATTATTTGTTTTTGTTTTATTTTCTTCTCATCTCGCACCAGGACTATTATGCAAATCATGAATACACATTCGTAAACAATTGAACATGACTACACGCCACCAATGTATACATTAAATAAATTTCTTAATTTTAAATATTTTCAATAATTTTAATAATAATTTTAATGCCTACTATGCAATTTTTATATATTTGTCTTCTTCCCTTGTCTATCTTCTCTTCTGTTTTCTTTCCTCTTCTGTCTTTCTTCTTTAGTAATCTGTTTGGGCTCTGTCCCCTCCCTTGTCATTTATTTTAATAATGTGGCTCAAAGGAGTTTTCTTAATGTCTTTATTTTATCAATTTTTGTAATGTGTTTTTATTGCTTTTTTGAATAAAAATGATTTTAAATAAAACAAAACATATCTGATCCATCACAAAAAACAATTAGAGCACTTTTTCTGTTCGCATTGAACTTCTCTGCTTTGGAAACAAAACGGCCAAGGTACTCTTCCTGGAGAAATTTCTCTAGGTTAAACCTACAGCTTAGCTTGAGAAATTCAAACATTCATAAATTTGCAGAAATCAAACCAATGATTTTAGATCTGCAAGCTGGCATATCATCACATATGCCAACTCACAACTCTACTCCTCAATAAAATTAGGTGTGTCTCCATGGTACATTACATACCTCTCCATCGGCCTTCATCTTTTCTTCCCACAATTCCTTGATGACAGCAACAGCCTGGCTTCTGTTCCATTTCAGTCTTTTAACCATTCCTTCGTGCTGAAGATACTTCGGTACATCATCACCAGTTCCCTGGGTAAAACATTGCACAAACTTGTTCATTCTCTTTTGTTTGATTATTTATTTAATGAACTTTTCACGTAAGTGAAATACAGCAGTGAATGATGCAAACCAACAGGTGACAAGCATGGCTACGGCAAAGTACCTTTACTACAGCGCAAGTACCTCTACTATATGGTACATCCACCACTACTATGGCAAAGCACCTCTACTATGGTACAAGCACCTCTACTACAGCACAAGCCCCTCTACTACCGCAAAAGCTCCTCTACTACAAAAAAGCACCTCTACTACAAGCACCTTTACTATGGCAAAGCGCCTTTAGTAAGCAAAGCACCTCTACTACAAGCACAAGTATTTCAACTACTATTTAAAAATTTTAATTCAGATATATACTGAGAACAAACTATAAACCAAATATACTGTACAATATTTTAAGGAGTTGAGAAAGGGGGTGCAGAAAAGCATTTGCAGTGGCATACCATGATGGCAGGGCCAACAATGAGGGGGCTGAATTCTGAAGACATACCCATCCTTCATAGAAGTCTTCTGCTGCAGCCACACCAGATATGATCTGGAGCAGCACTTCCACACGCTCATCACTGGTCTTGTCTTTTGATAATTCCTGCCATTTTTCTTCACCACCTGAAATTACCTCACCACATCTTCCCCAATCAGGTCTAAAAGTTAAAAAAAAAAGTATTTTATTTCAGGATGATATATCAGCACACATACATTGATATCAATACTTGAAAGTTCACTGCAACAGCATGGCACAGTTGGGTACACTTCTGGTAGTCAATATGGTCTCTGCCTAGACTGTAAAATAATGCTTGTATGGGGAATATATCATATTATTATCATTATCATTGGTGTATTATCATTATTATAATAGCATGGAAGTTGCTACATAACTATAATCTATTGTACGTTTTAGATCACTAAGAAACTTAAAATTATTTGACCTTGGTGTCGCACTCCTCTTGAGGGTCTCAAGCTCGGTGTAGAACTGATCCCGTTGTTGGATTACTTGATTATGTACTTGTAGCAGAGTGCTGACAAAGAAAAATACAAAATGAAATAATCTATAAGATAAATAAGGCAAGAGTAAAGCTCCATTTAAAATAGACATGATAACAACATGACCCGATAAAAATGCGCTCGGTGTTGAAGAACATAAACGACGCAATGATACATCGCTGTCGCATCTAGTGTAAATGTACCTAAAAGCTGCATTCACATCAGATGAGAACTGAAATTTGGACTGCGTTTCCGATGCGCTGAATGCCAACGTCCCTAATCATACATACTCATTAAATTTTCTGATGGGTTCATTAGGCTTTCCAATTCAAAAATTTGGATTCGGTGAATGCTACTTTATGGTTAGCACATTCTGGGTAAAGTATTAAACTGTATTTGGTTTAGCTACTGGGTGACTATGACTGACCACGACATTTTAGTTGCCTTAAAGGCCGCTCAGTGGAAAACTGGAGTCATCTGGCTGAGTGGAAAAATAATTACAAAATTACACTAGTCAATGGTCACCGATAACAACACAAGATGATACAACAAAACAATATAAAATATATCAAAAAATAAAACAAAAAAATCACTACTTACTCATGCTCAGTCATCAATTGTTTATTATCAGTTTGCAACTGACTTAATTCATTCTTTACAACCTGAAACAAAATAATAAGTAATTAACCCTTCCATGCCACATAATTTAGTTCCACTGGTAGATTGGAAGTTTATAAGGTTTCAGTGATTTATAAGGTTTCAGTGATTTATAAGGCATGTTTGTTTGATATGATAGAGGGTTGTATTCTTTTTCTACATACCTCATGCTCTTTTGTAAGGCTTTCAAAATCCCTCCTTGGTATAACATCGCCGTAGTTTGCGATCATCTCATTAAGTTGCACGGTAACTGCAGTCATGTCTTCACGTGCTCTCCTTTTAAACAAAAAATACAATATTAGAAGTTAAAAGGCAATAAAAAGTATTGAAAACATTTAAAAAATAAATATTAACCTTTTAAATTTGCTTTTGCTGCAGTTGCAACAACTCATATTTCTTGGATCACTAAAAACCACATCAGTTTTCCAGAAGAAGTGGCAGAGAGAGCGGGAAGTATATCAGTGGATTTATTTGGTGTAAACACCAAGAATAGCCCACATTAGTCTAGAGAAGACTTATTTTCAGTGGGGTCCTTCTGGTGGTGATTGGTCAGCACACTGGGAGACAATCCCCTACTCTTTTCCCAGTGTGTACTGCGTTCCTTAACATGCATATGGGCCATAAATACACACGGAACCAACGGCTTAAACGTCTCATCCAAAAGACGGTGCGCTATTGTAAATTGTATTTCAGGCCTCTAGCTGAAACACAAGGAGAGGCGGCGATGGAAATTGAACCGGGGACCTACAGATCTCCACAGTTCAGCACACACCCAGTAGCTACCACCAGATTAGCCGACTGAGCTAAGCTGCTCTCTCTTTCATTTAAATTCCAGTTGCAGAAAATTAAATTTGAAATTATGAGTATTGGAAGAGAGACTTGGTTTATTCTTATTCTTAATGTTTAATTGAAAAAAAAAATTCAAATACTTACTTAAGTGCTATCTTAAGTTTGATAGGATCTTCCTTAGATTCAACGACTGCCTCTTGCGCACCAGCCTGGTTCTTCTGGTTGTCCTCTTGTTGGTACTTCAGATCATTGATGTCAGAAACCAGAAGTTTCCTTGCATCACATTCATCACGATACTTTCGATATTCAGCTGCGACCTCTTCTTGTAGCTGTGGAAAGGTCACACCCAATGTCAAAGTTTAAAGTAAAATCAAATGTCAAAGTGTACACTCACTGTCAAAGTTCACATTCAACACTTAGGTGATATTAAGAGTTTATATTCTATAAGCAAATTGAAAATATCAATGTACATATATTTAATATCAAATGTAAATATAATAATAAAGTAATATATAATTTTTTAACATCCATTTCAAGAAGCATAAAATGATTAAAGCATGCTCACTACTGCCACTTTAAACAATGTATTTTTTTTCCATGTGATCTTTTACCTTTTCTATTTGTTCTTGTAATGCAACATGTTCTTGTTTCATTGTACTGATTGTGTCTTGTAACTGTCTGTTTTCCTGCTTAAGTTCTGCCATCTCCTGGCGTTCTTCACCTCGTAAAGCCATCACTTTCTGATCACACTGCTCAGAGACAGTCACCAACATAGACTGAAATGATGAACAGAATTCTATATTCAATCCCTTATGATAAATTCTAATGAATAATAATTAGCAAGTAAAAGGATAAATCTCTAAATGTGGTGAAGAAATGCCACACCAGTCTCTCCTTGTAAGTTTTGCTTCGGAGATAACAGCCAAAACATGTCAACATTTTCGGAAACTATTTCATTGCACTAAACTAAACTTTATATCTATACATCATGCTATGTTATTTTCCAAATTTTTGATGTAAAACAACCTTTTTTAACGATTCGTTGATGGTCTCTGCCTGAGACATGAAGACTGATTTCTCAAGTACTGTTCTTTAAACAGCTGTACTCGTGTAACTTCATATAAAGGAAATGTCAGATTTAAATGATTCTTTTGCCATTTTATAACATTCATTCTAATGCTTATCCCTGTATAAATAACTAAAAATCAATTTGTTTGAAAGGAGTACTGGTCTGGCTTGTCTTTGCCACATATACTCTATGAAAACAGTTAAAACATTATTTTGATCAAATTGAAAATTGTAAACATTCATTAAAATCTTAAATTGACAAACCTTAAGGGGTTGAAGTTCACGAATCTGTTGACGTTGATGTGACAGCATCATTTCATATTCATTCTTGATGGCAGAGAGAAGTGGACGATATGTTTTAAAATCTTGAATCAGGTACTCAAACACCTCCCTGAAAGCCTGACGGATAGTGGCAGAAGTTAAGATTTACTTTCTTTTTTACTATCATTTTCGGAATAGGATTTACAAAAGATTTGAATTAGCTGTCCCATGATGTGTCGTGCAAACTTTTACGGGCACAGATTAAAATAATTCACCCCTCCTATGCAGGTATCCTGTAGTTAGTTGTCGTATTCCATGAAAATTATTCAGATTACTAACACATATCTGAAATAGTACAGATAAGACATATTGGTACTGGCGCCATATTATGGCCGCCACTGACTCCCAGGGGCCCAGCCGCAATTTCTAACTCCAAATTTAGAATGATGACAAAAATTACAAAAAAAAAAGACTTAAGACACCGAGGTCAAACTTTAAACAAAACTGAGATAAAAAGAAAATTATATTCAAATTTTAAGTATGAGAGTGCCATTTCCTGCCATCTAGATGTGCTATAATCATACATTTTCTTACCTCAGCACCAACCATGGTGAGGCTGAGGTGGTATACTGTAGATCCTCTATCTGTGAAAGTTGATTGGTTTAGCAAAAAGTTTGAAGGAAGAAAGAAATTTGATAGACAAACCTGTAGCCGGAGCTCACTTGGCCCTGTCTGTGAACAGTCAAGATTCCTTAACTCCTTCTTCAAGAAAGACTCTAGTTGCTCTAAGAATTTTGGCTTAGGAATGATGGATTGGTGTTGATCACTATTATCTACAGCATTGGTGCCATGTTGCCTCTGGTTGTAGGAATTTACTGTGGTGGTAGCCTGGGCAGTAGCATAAGCAGGCCATGTATCCATTGTCCCTGCTTTTATATCTACATATGGCTTACAAAAAGAAATAAACATGTTAATACATACTATTTAAAAAGCTGCTTTGTCACATTTATATGTTTCATGTTTTCATATCTATCCCTTTTTTTACTCAACAATTTAATGTAGTTTTTGTTGTGAAGACATTTTTGCTAAGTAACTTAGCTTCAGTTGTAAAATATTTGTTTGTATTAATATAGTGGAGTTGAATAGCTCAGTGGTTAAGATGCTTGCCTTCTGATCCCAGGGTCCTGGGTTCAATTCCTGTCACAGCAGGACTTTTCCTCAAGTCTAAGATCAACTTCACTCCCTAAGCCTCATAAAGGGACTTGGTTTATAAAGCATCATTCTCATCCTGTAAGTGGCGAGTGTACTTGATGTTGGATGTGAGGTAAATAAAAAAAAATAAATAAATAAATAAAATATTACAATATTCACATAATTTACAATTTATAATTATTTATAGATTTATAAAAGACTCTGTATATATTTTATTGTTCTTCGAAGGGAGGTAAATAAATGAATGAATGAATAAAAACTATAGCTTTCATCATAGTTACCTTAAGTGATTTTGGAGCAGGTAGACAATGTTTTGTTGGGTCACCAGTTAACGTTAATTGATAATGTGGACCAGCAACACCTTGGTATTTTTGAAATGATGTAGTGTTGCCTGACTGTATACCTGCAGTTGGACTCCTGCTATAGTAGGAAACAAAAATTTTTTAAAGTAAGGGTAGGCCTAGAGAGCCTACAAAAATTGTAAATAATAATATTAAAACATTAACACTTTTAAGCAAAGTATTACATTATTTTATCATATCTTTTTAAAATAAGTTCAATGTAAATAATGTTTGCAGCTGGCTCACGTTATCGCTGTGCCAAATGTCGCCCAATTAAAATTTCTGACCACTATGTGCAATTCCTTGAAGTTTTTCTATGAGATTGTTGTATAAGTTATTTTATGCCAAAAGTTCCTTTTACAAATTTTAGCGTTTCATTTTTAAATTTTATATACTTGATTTATATCTTGATATCTGTGCAATTCGGGATCAGCAGCTATCACAGGTGGGATTTGTTCACCTGTTGGCTTTATATGTCTTTGATATTTTATTGTATATTTGCCTGTATGAAGTCGAATAAATAAATAAATAAATAAAAAGTTGTATAATATAAAAAATGAAAGTTTTACATTGTACTGTAATAAAATTGGATGGTAAAAATATTGTAAATATTTATTTCATTGTTATGCAAACAGAAATCTAGGGGCCACAAGCCATATCTATAGGCCTAACAAACTTTACTAACAAAAAAACATAACGGTAACTTTCGTAGCATATGTGCTTAGCCTACCTACGACATGTTCAAAATGGAAAGCTGCAAAATGCATCATATTATTCTTTAAATTATCACCACAATGACGGCATTTTTCTCAAGTTACTACTACTACTACCAGCCTACTACTACTACTACTAGGCTAGGCTAGGGAGGAGGAGGTACGCCATAGATGCTGTCTAGGCTTGGTTGGTAGTAGGTCCACCCATAGAGATGGTCCTCCCTGGCCTAGGCCTACTTTACTACTACTACCTAGCTAGAGCCTAGGAGGGAGTAAGTACGCCTAAGTAGGGCCTAGAGAGGGTTGGCTAGCCTAGTTTATTAGCGGTATGTAATTGGTTTCTACTTCTTCTGGCCTAACTAGGACATAACTTGCCTTGTAATTGGCGGCAACCTAGCTTTTGCCGACATTTTGTAAGTTTTAACATGCAATGTAACTTGGTAAACGATAAATCATTTCATGTCCCCTCAGCTCAGAGCCAGCAAGCGAGAACAGACTGATGATCAAAATAAACAATGTTGGTGGCGCTGTTTCTCAAATCCATGACAACCATCAACAAAATAATGAAAATCTCAGTGTCCAAACTGTTTTTCTCTTTACGCATGCGTACGTCACACAGTAGGTCGTGTTTTACCAGCGGACTGGGCACCAACATCTGCCTGGATGAATATGGAAGGCCAATACTGCCTCCAGTGCAGTGTCGGAGGTCGTCATGTAATTCATTAATTTTATTTTCAATATTTTTAGAGCATTCGAAACTTCCTTTGTCGACAGGCCTGGACTCCCCCACCCCCGTCGTCCGACCCCACGACGAGGTCGTCGGATCGAAAATAATAAATATCCAAATAACTTTATTTTGATTGCCAATCCGAAAATACCGTAAAGCCCTGGGCCTGTTCTTTTTTTCTTTTTTTATTTTATTTTTTTATATTTTTTTTATTTGCGAACTTTGGATAGGCTTTTTCAAAATGAATGCTGTAAATTTATATTCGTACATAAAACAATAATTAAGGCCACTGTAAAATAATTTATATCATGGAGTGCATTAACTGGTATTAAATCACATAAACTACTGTATAAACCAAGCTTGTTTTTAATTTATTGTGTTTTATCAAAATTCATGTACAGTACTGTACTATTTCGGACAGAAGCCTATTCTATCTTGAAAAGAAGCCCATGGGCTTCTTTTCGAGATGGGCTTTTTAGGCTAATTTTGCAAACTAAAAGCGGGGTTCAATAATTCAATATGGGCTTCTTTAGCCCATTGTGCTTCAATTCGATGTTTTACGGTATTGTGATCTATAATAATTGGGCCATACTAAGCCATAAAACTCTCTTCGTGAACCCAACCAGAATTATTATTTTTTTTAATTCCGGGACCATGACTGACGCTTTAGTCGGCCCCTTGGTTTTCCCCCGGGGCAAATTTCTTGAGCCAACGCTGCCAGTCGATCGATAGATTGATTGGTAGTACATGGTTAAGTTTCACGTTGTTAAAATATAGGCTATTGGCTTGTTTTTCAAAACTTAATTTGAAATATATTCCTTAATGATATTTTCATTTTTTCAAAGAAAAATTGTTATAACAAATGGAAAATAAATAAATATAGAGTTCACTATCATAAAATGGATCATTAATTTTATTTTTAATATTCATCAATATCCAAGCCTGAGAATCCCATTAGAGCAGTTCATAATCCACTTGTTATTGGAGAAAAGATTCAAGACGTATTTTTGGATTGGATTGGTATAATTTATTCTCGGCCATGATAGGACTTTCGTGAAGCCCGTCTTAGATGTCGCTGCTAAAGTCCCACAACAAGGATCAGTTGTAGGCCTAAGCGTCGGCAACACGTCGTACGTGCGTTATGCACAACGTGTTTCTGTGACACACGAGCCTTCCTCACCCTCAGCAAATTTTACTGACACTCCCATCTCTAGGTTGTCGCTTTGATGTTTATAATTAAGATGAATGAACAAATTTTCTTAAAATATATCCATGTGTGAATAAAATGACAGCCATTTACAACGGGAAGAAGGCATTCGGTTATTTGCTACACAACCACGATCAGTGGGCGGGTGACATGTCCTATCAATGCGCTTGGATTGCGCTTTTTTAGGAAAAATAATAATAGCCTAGTTATCACTGAACAAAAAACTGCATCCATATATGCGTCCGAGAAGAGCTCAAAAATTGCCTCTAATACCCCAATGTGTTGAAAGGCTTTAGCTCCCTCATGGGCCTCAATGCCCCGGCTTAATATTATATTGTTTATTATTATACTTCTCACCGTCATAGCGCGGCCCTGTACACGATTGAATAAGATCCTTTTTTGGCTAAAAAATTAAAACAAAAATCAATTTTTATATACATAAGCTACGGTGTTATTTTACTTTGGGGTCCGACCATTATTGACATTTTTTACTAAATATACACAGGGCGACAAAAGTAAACAAAATTTGCAAAAGAAGAAATACCAATCAATTTAACAAGAGATGCTTAAATTGTTAATTGTAAAGGCCTATTTTATTCATTTTCTGTCTCTCATTTCAATACAACTTTATATCATACGTTCGTCGCATGAAAAGTAAACATAATTACAGTAGTGTATTAGCATAATTCTGTTACATTTCCATGACAAGGTAAATGACTTTTAAAAGATCTACGTAGGCGCCCTCGTTTGCAGCATTAGACTATCAGGTACATTTAATTCGGCCCCCCATAGCAGAGAAATCACTTTCAAGAAGAATTGATTCTCATTTGAGGGGTGATAAATTAACATTCTGCGTAGACGTTCAATATATTTTTTTAGAAAAACATTATGAAATTATAATGATAAAATTGTATTTGTATAAATATATATATTTATCTTATTTTTTTCATTTTAACTAAGTATAAATACTGCATAATAGTGTTCCAGTATTAACTAAAAATTCGTTTCCCTTGTTTTGAAAAATGAACTGGCCCACAGTAAAGACTAAATTAAAGTATGCATTTTACTACTCAAAATTGTTTTACATATTTATGTAACATAACTTCAATATACATTATGAAAAAAAATATATGTGTACAATTTTTCTAAAATTGAACGCAGAAAATACAGTTTGGCATATTAATATATTTTAACTATAATTGGAACAAATATTTTGTATATAAGTACTTTTACAGAAGGTCATTCGTCGATCTTTGTTTTCCTATACATTAGTATAGAATTTATCATGGCGGCTGACGGAGCAAGTAGTACGAGTTCAGAAGCTGGAAATAATCCTATATCTGGTTGTTCTATAGATCGAATAAAACGTCTATATCCAGCAGTAAATGAGGATGAAACTCCTTTGCCACATTCATGGAGTTGTAATGACAAATCTAGCTTTATAGGCTTGTCGCAAGGCAATCTCCGTGTGCACTACAAAGGGAAAGGTTAGTATCGGAGATGTCTGATGATGATGGCTGACGTTTTTGGTTGGTCTCGGTTTGTTTTGTTGGCGAGTTGACTATGACTCACTCTAATTCGTCAGGCCCTCCTATCGACATAGCTTTGTCCTGATTCACAAAAAATAAGTAGTTAATTGAAGGGTTATTATAGTTTTTAGTAGAATAATTTGGTCTTGTATGTATTCATTTTTTACAGTCTGCCATATCAAAACATTCACAGCAGTCGTAGGCCAGGGGAAGAGACACAGCTGATTCTAATCAGCTGATAATTTGTTTTTGCTGACTTGTTTTGTGGGAAATGGAATGGATGTAAATTGAGAATGTTCCCTGGCCCCAAAACCTTTGCATGAAAAATGTTGCTTATATCTAGCAACATTTCTATGAAGATAAATGTAATCTATAATAACACCAGGAAATATTTTGTATATGAATTATGTATTGTAATGGAATGTGCTGGTAATTAAGCAACAACGAAAATCAAATCAACGCAGCCCCCAAATGCCAATTATATCTTGGGAAGTGAACAATGAGTCGTACAGTACTACTTCAATAGAGAAGGTTTTGTTGACATGCTTCAACCAAGCAGTATAGAAACTGAGGAATTGCTGATGGTGAAGAATTAGTATTTACTATTTTTGAGCTACTTGACTTTTTATTATTGTTTATTGCCTATATTTTACCACCACCAAACAAAAGTTAAAAATAAGATACCATAAACCAAATATTTATTAAATTTGTTGTTTCATATTATTAGAAGACAATACCTTTTTATTTTGCATTGATTAATTGGTTTCAATGTAAGAACTCAATTTTATTTTGTTGTGATTACCAATTTTATCAGGTTCTGGATTCCTACATTAGGCCTTCATCAGACAATGATTTAACACAAATAATGTTCCCATTTATGAAGAAATATTGAAATGTATTGTAAGTAATGGTTTAGATAAAAATACTTAGTCATATTTCAATTTATTATCGTAAGTTTGGTTTCAGCTCTAGTTATTTGCATACAGAGGTGTTAAGCCCACACCTGAGTAACTTAAAACTACATACAGTGTAGAAAGTATAATACATACTCCAAGTATTGAAATACACGCCATCGTGTTGGGATTCAATATTTCGACATTAATTATGTCATCATCAGGAATGATGACTTATTACATACAGTGTAGTTCGCAGGTCCAGGGATCGGAGCTCTCATCTGTCCAAGAGAATATCCTCATTTTGATATTGACCGAAGAAGAATGTGTTTCCACTCAAAAATCATGCCAACAACCATTCAATCCCAGGATTGATTGGATTATTGACTTGCTAAAAAGAAAATCTTATGAGGGGATGCTTATTCAAATTAGAAGGGGGGCTTATTCAAACGGGGTGATTAACAAAATTTTCACGTTAGGAGGGGCGGTTATTCGAGAGGGGCGCTTATTCAAATGGGGCACTTATTCACACGAGTACGGCTGTACAATATCTTTTGAACAGAATGGTTTAATTTTTAAAATTTTAATGACCCAAACATGACATAATTATGTTGAAATTTAATAAATTACAAATAAATTATGTCTACTTCATCAATTTTTCTGATTTAATAAATTTTAATATTTTAGAAAGAAGACTATCAGGGCTAAAAATTAACCTCTAAACCCAAGTAGCCAGCAGGCACTAAAAAATACATGCCACTGGGCCTGGTAAAAATCAAGTCGTCCTGACTTTTTTCGGCATAACAAATTACAAAATCAAGTACTGTAAAAACATAACTTTATATACCTTTACTCTCATATGTAGTCTGGGACTGAATTTTTTCTCAAATTTAAATTTAGTCGATCCATCGATGAAGGAACTTTTTAGGCTAGGAATGATCGCCACTGCCGCCAGGCAAGTTCAACAGTACATCATCATAGTTTCTGGCTTTTTGTACCCCCTCCAGCCACGGCGAACCGTGCTGCCATTTCGTTGGAAATTTCCTATTTCTTGATTTGTTCTCATACCTTCGTTATGTAGCCAAAGTTTCTTCATTTGTTTTGTTTTGTTTTTTGGGTTGGTGGTGCCGGACAGTTTAACAAATATCTCCACATTCCAGGACCTTATGACAGTCCAATTGAATATTTCATCCTTTTTGCACACGTGAACGAAAATCGCGCTCCGATGAAAAGTTTCAAGTTTGTGTCACGTCATCATTCATCGCCTACCTTACGTCACTGTAAGGGCATGCGCAAATTCTGATTAAGAAAACAACAACAACACAGGACTGAGCATCGTGTGTGCAGAGAGCGAAGGGAACTATCAAGCGGGGAGCAATTATAGTATAGGACAACAACCGCTGTGCGCCGTCAGAGCCCCACCTAAATCAGGGCCTAGGCCTAGAGCGTAATTGCAAATGAAGCCATGATAGAAAGCCTTAGTAAGATTATTTTAAGAAGAATTTGTGAAAATGGTAGGCAGTAAAAGAGGAAAAATAAGACATAACACATTCTAAAAATCCATAGTATTTTATACTTTATTGTTGAAATCAATTATTTTCGGGATTTTTTCTTGGTTGCCAAACGGGGCAATATTTTCCAGAATGTCTGTCGCCCTGAGTAATTATTAGTCGCTACTGGCAATCGGGCGACCGTTAATTTCTAGCCCTGGACTATTAGAAACCAAAACTATAGAGGGCACATTTAACCCTCTAGATACCGTCTTCGACTGTAGTCGAAATTGACCTCAAACCGAGAATTCCCATTTTCGACTGCAATCGAAATTTCGTGACTAAAAAATAGGTGGTTTTCAAATCGCTCTTCTGTTTTTATTTTAGCTCCAATACGTCAGAAATTTTGAATATGCATGCGTGAAGCTTTTGTTTTTCGAAATCTGTGAAGAACTCACATGCGCTTATATAAAAATTTTTAGAAATATCAATTTGAAATCGTTATTAATTTCAAAAATTTTTCGAAATTTTTCCGAAATAGCCGCACAAAATGTGTACACAGCTGAGCAAGCAATTGACCTGATTTTTTATTCAGACAGCGATGAAGGTGAATTTTTAGATGTGCGAGACTTAGACGTGCCTGTTAGCGATGATGACGGTGGGGCTTCATGCAGTTCTGACGGCGGAGATATTCTTGATGAAGATGAGCCTAGGCCTAGAAATGTGAGGGTAGTCGACGCTTTTGAATGGAAAGATCGTGCTTATAGTTATGGATGGTTGGGTAAATAAATTATATAACTGTGTGGAATAGGAATGTTTTTTATTTGTTTTTATATTTTTTTGGCTATAATTAATTTTTTTTTTCGGTTTTTGTTGACGAATTTATATGTAGCATTTTTCTGTCATTTCTATTATATTATATATATATTATATTATATTATATTATGAAAAATAATTCCCAAAAATATAAATTATACATCAAATGAAAGCTTATTCTATAAGCTTTCTTTGTTTTTAGAAACATTTTTCTGTATAATTTACAGAAAGTTCCCAAAAATCCACCAGAACGACGTATATTCAAAAAAAGCAAAAAACCTTGTTACACTGCAAAAGAATCCGGTATTCAAGGGTTTGCACTACAAAAGAATCCGGTATCCAGAGGGTTAATAATTCATGATTCAAATTAAATAATGATGTTTAGTACTTAAATTTACATGCAGGTTTCCTGATAATTTCCTCATCTTTCCTCCAAACTCATGCCTCTCCTACCCATCCTTTCTATTCGCCAAATGAAAAAAAAAGATGTTTTCCCCCTCGCTTAATAGGACCTATCGTTTTTTTTTTTAATCTCATAAGCCAAAATACAGAATAATCCTATTTAGAAATTTAAACATCCTTATTTAAGCATTTCATAATGTGTATCAAGCTAAGACTAACAGTGTAGTACTAGTTTTAGTCATTTTTTAAGAAATAAAAAGGGTAAGGAACTGTTTCTCCTTCTGTTTCAAGAAACCTGGTTAAAAACATGTTTGTTTTGTATTTGGCCTTATAGCATTGTTATGTACTACTTTATTAGTTGAGATTCAGTTTGACCTTTTAAACTCAAGGTCATGTGACTAATTATCTGAGTCATTGTGTTACGACTTAAGACTACCTTTAATAATTATTGCAACGAAAAAACAATAGAATTTAGCTTTAAATGGCCATCCCACAAATCAATGAGTGATTATTAATAAACAGTACAATTTAAAGGAGAAAAATTTGGCACAGATACTCAGACTTACATAGTTTAGCTTCATGAGGACTTCCTTCCTATACTGTAGTTATTTATATGATAAAGAGTAACTCTTATTTAAGGACATGGCAGTTAAATCATACGTCTTTTGTTTACGAAACCAAATTCTATGGTAAATCACTTCCTTTTAGGCATGAATGAAACAATTGAAGTAGCTTATTATCTTTGTTGAAGATAATCAATCAATATTTTTTTATTTTATAAATAAAGAGAGCAAAGAAAAGGTTAAAAAAAAATCAAGATAATGTTGCATGGACATAACTACATTTGTCTGTTCATTGTTTCCCTAAAGATTTATAATTCCTTGTATGTATTCTAAACTTAGCAGCAAAAAATATTTAGAATATATTCTTTGTCATCCTTCAGTACGATAAAAAAAAAAATCAAGCAGTTGTAATTCATGATACAGTATTCTACAGTTGACTTAATAAATAGCCAGAACCTATCAATGCCCTGTTTATTCCCTCTTGCACGCCCTTCAACCGCACCAGGTTATGGCTTTAAATGATTGGTTTAAACATTACACTGTTGCATCATTGCATGATTGTGTTACTAAACTCTAGGAATACTCCCTGCAGTAAACAAGCTGGGGATGTTACATGTTACTCTTGTATGCCAATGTGAATCTAGTGACCAGGATGAATAATACTACTACTGTATCTTCAGATTGTGGATGGCATTAATAAACTTAATAGACATGAAAACACATGGTGAAAATAACTGTTTTTCCTGTATTCATGCCTAAGCCTTCATTACGACCTTTGTTAGCATTTAAAGCTGTGTTTGTTTTAAGCTTGAAATGATGTGAGAACTTGTAATGCAAAGATGAACTAAGTGAAGCTATAAAATGTCACTAAGTTCAAACATGTAGAGTTAGTATGTTGACTCTTATTATAAGAATATTAAATAATGTTATAGAGTAGTATTTTATTCATTCAAGCAACATGCTGTCTTTGTTTATTTCTCTACCAATTTTATGTTTTTATTTTACATTTAGGCTATGTTCTCACACAGCTGCTAACGGTTAGCAGGATCTGGATCCTGCTAACTTAGCTGCCGTTCGTCTGTACGAGAGAATCCCGATCCGGATACCAAATTATGATGATCGAATCACTGGCCAATAAGAAACTGAAAATTGTAAACGCGTACATGTGATTGGTTGATGATAGAAACGCGCTTAACTTGCTAACCAATAGCACTTGCTAACTGTTAGCGTTATCCGGATACTGCTAACGGTTAGCGCTAACCGATTGGGCGTTCTCACGCAGGTGCTAACGGTTAGCGCTAACGGTTAGCTCCCGATCCGGGTACTAGGGCTCTCGTGAGAACCAGGCTTATACATAATTAGCTTCCTTCACATACTGGGTGGATATTTCACTCGTAGTGAACTAGAGCCATTTAAAAATTTAACATACAGCTCTTCTACAGCTTTATCCACACTATAAAATTTTATGTGACACATACAGTAAATTTGATATGCCCATATTTGGATGTAATATGACATCTCATGCCCATATATGGGACTACACTCAAATTGTTCACATTAAATCTGATAGTGTGGACAAGGCATTAGAATGTTCTTTTCGTATGGCAACAGACTTTTTTGTGTCAGACTTGTTGAACATATCTGATGGAGTACAACAGATATTGTTTGATCAAACAATTTTTAACACGTTTGTTGCCAGCCATGTAATATGATAGTTCTTTATAGTGTATACTGTAAATGGTTCTTCAATATATAGACTAAAAGTATGATAGTTCTTTTATGGAAAGTTTTAAAGGGCACCATCTGCATTGTGAACATCTCACCTGTTGTATTATGACACAGATCTACTGATCACAACAATTTGTCTGCAGATTTTCTGCGACTGTCTGAGTCGTTGAAAATAACCTGTCCCGCATTTTGTTGCCTTGTGGTCCGTATGAAATAGCATCTGCCGATATTGTGTTCCATGGCCTTATACAATATGTCAAATGTAGAAAAAATTGTGAAATTCTTAGTAAAAATCACTTTTAATATAGTAGGCAACCTCTGGTAGTGCTAGAATATTCTTGTATTTTAATTGAAAACAACACAAGTAGCATCTAATTTAATTAATACTAATTTTTGAAAAACTATATAAATAACCAGATTAGAAAACTCCCAGACCCTCAAACTGATGTTCTCTTATTGTAACAAATGTAACCTGTAACATAAATTCCTTGTATACTTTCTTGTTAAGACACATTTCCTTAAATGGAAAATTTAAAGAATATAATATGCATTGACCTTGGATCAACTAACATAAAAAATAAGCTTTACTCTTTAAACCAGCAGTGATTCAGTGTATGGATACATTTTTTCCAAATATTGAAAACAGCATTCATATTGAGGAAGGAGAGATGTGGAGTTAACCCATATTACACTTTTTTTAAATAAGAACACTGAGGCTGAAATTACTTTAAAAATTAAGAACAAAATAAGAATAAATTTTAAATGTAAAATGAGGTTTTTATTTTTTTTTTAAACCAGAAAGACCAACAAATGTTATCGTTACCTTACTTAGTTGCAGTAGGTGTGACTATGTACATTAATTTCCTCTGTATAGTACTGCGGTACAATAATAATTTTGTATGCTTGAAAGTGTGTAAAAATTTTAATTTATAACAAAAATATTTTAAGAACATTTTGAGCCTGAAATTGGCAAAAAAATAAGCCTGGCCAAAATTTGACTGGTTTTTATAAAAAAAAAAAAAAAGTGTACTGGACTTACTTTTTATTATGGTGTATTTCTATTTTTAGAATTGATTTTGGGTGTTATTATTGTTTCCTCAACTTTTAGAGTGTTGTCAATTATTTATGATATGTACTATAGCTCTGTTAATATTTAAAATACCATACCAATTTATTTAATTTGTTTTGTACTCCATCAACTTGTATAGCGCTAACCAATGCCAATTACATTTGCATTGCAGAAATCCCATCCGGTTGGTGGGTGTTGAAATAGTCATGTACCTTACACTTGTTATTCTTTATTATTTGATTAATGAATTTTATTTTTGTATTGGAATAGGTAAACCTCACAAGGAGGCTGCAGCAGTAAAGGCAACGCACGTTATACCAGCCTCATGCGGTATTTACTATTTTGAAGTCAAAATTATTAGCAAAGGTCGTGATGGGTAAGTTGCCTGATTAATATTGAACTTAGTAATGTCAGAATTTGATGAAATTGAATTGTAAACAATGTTATGTTGAGGAGCTTAAGGGGAGCTGAAATCGGCAGGAAATTCTGTTTATATTTTTTAACCTTTTAATAGGTGTCATCATTATAGATGTTTGCAAGCCAAATTTTTGCAATGTAGGTTAATTCATAATTTGTGAATTACTGAAAAGTAGTCTGAACTTGTCTCATGAACCATATCGTGTACATGAAATAGTATTACTGCAGTACTTTATGTATGAGTTCACCCATTAAACACAAAATTTGGCCGGGTTTGTGGGTGGGCTTATTTCAAGAGATTACCCCATTCGTTAAAAAGATGACTAATATTTAATATTTAATCATACAATATTTTATTTTAATTCAATTATTTTCATAAAAGCAGGCATTGTGTTTTTTTTTTAACAGAATGTAAAAAAAAGCTCTAAGAGGAAAACATTACAATAACATATTATTGATTATAAAATTTTATTTAGAAGGCTGACATTTCAATTCTACATAAACTCGAACATCCAAAAGATCTTGATTCTAGGATTTAATGCTGCAAAAGCCATAAGGACTTATCTAGATGAAGCCCTAAAAAAAATTCTACTATAGTTGCTGTACACTGTTGATAGTCATCAGAATAATTATTATGATTAATGTATCTGCTTCATTGATGACAGATGTTAATGAGCAAAATAGTTGATTTAATGTCATCAGGTATAATAGTAATCCATTTTAGCTGCAGAATCTAAGGATGATGATATTGCATTTTGTTTTTCAAATCAATTTTATAACTATCCTTCTCAATTATGTCTACTTTTCTCTATTTTTTTTCTCATCTTGTTTATTTGACTAAGATATACTTTTTATTCAAACCTAGAATGTTAAATTTTATGTGAATAAAACCCACCTGTAAATTATTCTCTTAAATGATGAAATTTGATATTTCAATTTACTTTGTACAAGGAAATTAAGTTTCAGTTGAAATTTGCAACTAAAAAATATTTTCCACACCAGTTAACCAAGTCAAAGTAATATATTTTCATCCAAAGGAAATTGCATACAGATGCATGAACAATATTTCCCATAATTCCTTATAAACTATAACATAAAAATTGGCTTTTTAATCAATATGTTTAGTTAATAATATAACTTTCATACTAACAGGTCATTTACGATATTTTTCCTAACAGTTTGAAGTGTGAACATAGCTTATAATTTGTGTTTGGTTAATCTTTATAGGCTACCTGGGCATTCAATGAAACTGTTCGATTTATCTAGCTTTAATACAACAAAAATATTTTTAGCTCAGATTATTTTTGATCTGAAACATCTATATCTTATGCAATGTTATGTTCTGTATTCATCTGATTAATTATAATGCTATTCATAAGATGTGGCGATGTGTTCTATACAGTACAGTATACAATACTAGTATTTGTTGATCCTGGACCACCGTTATTAATGAGAAATGCATTAAGATATACTGAAAAATGTATAAATTAATTATGTAGATTTCTGTTACAGTACTTCAAATTCTCAAGTTAAAATTGTATTAAAGATTATTTAATAGGGAATCATTTTCGACTCCTTGTTTAAATGCCACTGGTATTTACAATGTATTCCACAATGCATTAAATGTATTCATAAAATTGTTTTTGTGATGAATCTATACATAATACATAGTGGCAGAATAATAGTAACACAATTATTCTTAGTCCATTGTTCTCAAGTTAAAATGTTATTAATAAAATGTAATTATTTTATAGGAAATCATTTTTGGCTCCTTGTTTGAAAGCCACTGATATTTCTCCAATTATTTATGTGTTCAACAATGCATGTATTCATAAAATTATTTTTGTGATGAGATACATAGTACCTACAGTGGTGGCACAGTATAATAGTAAACACCATTATTTCTTGGTCCATTGTCTCACAAGTGTGTTGATGTCATGTAGACGGTGATGATGTCATCAATTTGTGTTAATGTCTTGTGACTTGACAGTAGATACGTTTGAGATTATAAGTGGATTTGTGATGCCATTATTTTTGTAATATTGCAGCATAATGTGAGTTTGTGATTATGCCTGATGATGTCATGTGAATTTGTGATGATGTCATATGAATCTATGATGATGTCATGAATTTGTGAAGGTGTCATGTGAATTTCTGATGATGTCACTTGAATTTATAATAAATTAGTAAATGATTCTGTACAGTACACTGTAAGCATGAATGTGAATGTGGATATATGATAATATTACTGTTCTGTATTTTCGATGGTGGAATATAAAGATTAGAATTTGATATGATACTGTGGGAATTTATTAATTCCTTTTAATTATATATTCTTAAAAACCTGACATGATGTTAATGCCACAGGCCTACCTACAGTATGTGTCTACACATGTTTCAACCTATACAATTATACACACACACACACATGCTCACACATAGTACATCATTTCAAATATACATTGATATATGGTAAATAATATATGTTTCAGTCTAGCATTAATATACTATACATACAAGAGTAGAATTTTTATTTATTTTTTGGTAGCAACTGTACTGTAGGCCCAATGTTACTGTTTGTTACTATTATTTGCCTGCCGAGTGGTGAATTTTTGATGCCCAAGCTGAATCTAATGCATTCACATAGTATTTGCTTTATATTGTGTGGAAGTAGGTATTTAGCCATTTATCAGTGCTGCGTTTCATTCATACCTGTTCAGAACATGTTGCAGTAATAAAGAAAATTGTACATAAAATCTGTTGAAATTCATAATTGAACCATCATAACATGTTGAAAAGATATATACCATCTGTTATTTGGGGCGATGGGGGGAGAGAACCTTTCAAATACTGAATACAAATAAAATGTTGACATGCTCACTGGATCAGTAAATTGAGTAATTAGCAAAGAATGTGGCAATATTGTATTACACAGAAGCCATAAATTGGCAGTTAGAGAAGTTGATCTAATATTAAAAATTGCCTCATTTTAAAGCTTAATGTGGAGAATATGAATATTAAAATATAAAGTCACTTCTTATTTTGGCCACTGAAACTTGTTTTGGAATGGAAAGCCCCATATCCTACTGTATGTCTGTTGCAACACATGTTTCAACCCATATAATCACACACAACTTAATCATATGATACACAAGTGAAAGTTTTGTTATTATTAATTCAACATTAACACATACTGTACAAGAGTAGAATTTCCAGAACTTTGTTTATTGCTTGGTAGCAGGTATAGGGCCGAGTTTTGTGGTTTGTTCCTATTATTATAGCCTGCTGAGCAATGATTCTGATGAGAAAACCCAAACAATCTACAGTATGTTGGATTATACTATAGTATTTAATTTAAATTTAACCTTTGCTCTTTGTTCTTAAGTAGACAATAAGTACAATATCTGCCTTAATTTGAGAATTGATGTATAAAAAAGTGCTTATGTTTAAGGTAATTTAAAAAAAAATGCTGAGGTAGGTATCTAAACAACTCCAAATTTTTTACCAGTATGGTATGTTCTAAGTTACTGTTTCAAGTAAATTTACATCTAGAAGCAATGTTCCCAGAGTGTCATACTCTGTGGCATATGTGCTGAGCTCACTCAGATCGTTAATTTTATTCTACCAGTAAACAAGAATGAAGAAATTTAATAAGTTCATAAATTAGATTAATTAGAAGTTATAATGCTGTGAATATTGTAATGTCAATTTCGTTGGTACCTGTATTGTTTACCAAGTCATTCTCATTTTGATTCTTTGCTAAGTTGATTAATTTAATTAATGTGATCACATAGTATTTTTCATATCATTTAAAAGAAAGTAGGTTTTTAGCCATTCATCAATGCTGCGTTTCATTCATACCTATTCACAACATGTTGCAGTTATAAAGGAAATTGTACATAAAATCTGTTGAAATTCATAATTAAAGCATCATAGCATTTAGGTTGAAGATATACCATCTGTTTATTGAGGAAATCCTTTCAAATACAATTAAAATGTTGACACGCTCAATGTAAAATTATCAATAAACATTATCAACACTGATCAAAACAATTAATTTTTTGCTGATACGTAAACTGTCACGCCCTTTCCGCCCAACCCTTTTTTTAAATATTAAAAAATCTAAATCTCATTAACAACCAGAGATACTACGTACTCCAAGTATTGAAATACATGCCATCGCGTTGGGATTCAATACTTCGACATTAATTATGTCATCATCAGGAATGATGATGACATAATTAATGTTGATGACATAATTAATGTCGATGATGACATAATTAGTGTCGATGATGACATAATGTCGAAATATTGAATCCTAACACGATGGCGTGTATTTCAATACTTGGAGTATGTATTATACTTTCATATCTGAGATTAATCAGTGGACCTTTCGGTTTTCAGAGATACAGATTTTTGAATATTTAAAAAATAGGGGGGAAAAGGTGTAAAAAAGGCTAGTTTAGCCCCTTTTCCCCCATATTTTAAATATTCAAAAATTTGTATCTTAAAACCCTTCCTAAGTTTTTCTTCAAATATTTTTTTTTTGTGACCTAGAAAAATCAGTTGTCCAACATATCAACCTTTTGTTTCTTTCGGAATCTGGCATTAAGGGTTAAAGATTAAATTTTCCTTTTTCGTCCAATTCAAAATATTTGAAATTGGAAATTTTGGCTGGAGAACCGCTTCAGCCACAGTGCAGAGCCGGTACTGACATATAATTGCTACATTTTTCCTTATTCCGCCTAACTTTTATGCAAAGGTTATCCGAGGAGCAGAACGACCATACTGTACTCCAATTAAAACTTGAAGTTGGCCTCGTTTTAACCGGTGTGTACAGCACAAGAAGCAGGAACGATACCTCTGCCAAACGCTCAGCTTCAGTGGAATGGTACATACTAGGGAGCTTTCGATTTGTGCGACAATGCGAAGCTGGAACAGAATCACTCATGCGTGACT